ATTTTTAATATATACTATATATTTCGCTTGTATTGCGGTCAATCGGAACTGAACCGTGTGCAACGGCTGCTGATAAAGGGCCTAGCGTCCAGAGAGCATCTCAATGAATTCGCGATTTTTCGATTTGTTTCCAATTTCTCGATTCTTAGCGTATATATTTAAAAGTTTTAAAATAATACCAAATGCGTATTTTATTATTGACTTTCAATCTCCCTATTTTCTAGTTACAAAAGACTCTACGGTGTCTCAATAGTCCATCTATATATCTGTATGTAAATACATACTCAAATATACGAATATTTCCGTAATAAACATGATTCTTAATATGTGTGTATCAAAATGTTGATCTGTTCTATATCATCATTTAGCACCTTTTGGACTCTTTATCATAAATTTTATTTATTCCATACTGTACTTAACTGAAGTTAAAGATGTTAGATGTCTCTCTCTTTATCTCTCTCTCGCTATCTCCTTTTCTCTCTCTCTCTCTCTCGTTCCCTCTCTCTATGTCTTTCTCTCATTCTCTCGCCGTTTCACTCTCCTCGCTGCTTGCTGCTCTGGAGCACTTTCTTTTACATCGCTTTCACTTGCATATTGCATCTCTATCTGCTTATTCTACTTATTTACAGGCCATGAATATTACTCATCTCTTTGTAAGCTCCATCTTATATTTAAATTTAATGCACTTTTCTTTTATAATGTATATAATCCACTTTTGTCTTCTTCGGCTTTGCCCTTTCATATATAGATCCTGTCCTTATGCTCTGCAGTTCTCTTTCAGTTATTATTTATCGTTATATCTCTTGTATATGCTATAAGCTCTCCTTAATTTTTCGCTCGTTCTAAGATATCCCTGTCTATCTTTCTCTCTCTCCCTCTAACTTTCTTTCTTAATTTTTTAATTTATATGACCTATAATTATTCTACTTTTCATTATTAACCTTATGATCTCTAAGTTACTTTGCATATTTATGTGTTTTACTCTCACTTGTTATATGCATAGTACTTATCTATTTCTATCGATGTTTTAAGTTATATTTAGTATATCATCCACTTTCTCTCTTCTCTCCTTCTAGGTATCTAAAGCGCATCTTTCCACCGATCCTTCAGCATATTTTAATCATTTACAATTGTATATTACCTCGTCTCTCCACTGTCTTTTTCTCCTTCTCTATGGCAGTTTGTTTGGAACACGCTTCACATAGGTAATTTGCCATTCGTTATCTAATGAAAAAGAGTTTCGCACATGCCGTCGACGACAGCCCGATATAGACCCACATGTATATATCTCTATATATATGTTCGTTTGGTTGTAGATATAGATGTGGTAATAGATACAAATGTATCCGTAGATACAACATGGTGAATAGCTAGGTGTGGGGATACGTAATGCCTGCTCTGACGATCCCACCCCACTTCCCTTGCAGTCCACGCCTAACGCCCACTGCCGCACCCCCGTAGACTATCCAATGCTCCGCCGGACTGCGCTTAATGTGCGGCATTCACGCCGCATAACAATGAAAAAGCTACTTTTTTTGCTCCATCTATTTGTCTGTGTGAGTTTGTGTATTTGAATGTGTTTTTATTTTTTGTTTTTTTGTTTCTTAACTGCCGAAAGCTTAAAATTAATAAAGTAAACACTTTTTTTCTATTTCAGTTGTGTCGGGCGGTCGCCATTGACGCACAAATTGCGATAGAATTAGAGGGCTGACTGTGTATGTGTGTGTGTGTTGATCGTCATTAAGATCGTTTAAGGCTGGCTATAGCCATCCAGCGTGTGGGTGGGTGGGCGTTTGGCTGAAGCGGTACGTGCGGATATGTATGGATATGTATTGAACGATTGATGGTAATTATTGCTGTGTGCGTATGTGTGTGTGAGAGGTGGTGCGGAGCATGCGTGAGAGCTAATGGACATGAGTTGCCATTTTTGGAACGTTAGCGCTAAATGAGCCTCAATTGCCAAATTGCGACAAAAAAAAATATAATAATAATAAGAAGAAGAAAAACACTGAAATAAAATTTGTTTAATAAAAAATGAGACGCGCTTCGAGTCAAGCGTCTTTATATTATATAATTCCCAATTGGTACGCGCGCGTAGATGAACCAAAACAAGACAACTTAGCTGGTCCCCCACCCCATTCTCTCTCTTTCCTATTCTCTCTCTCTCTATCACACGCGCACGCGTGCTGGCATAACGCGTAGCGTTCTCCATTGACGTCGACGTTGAAATGTTTACATAAACTGGAATTAATTTCATTGCGGAGTCGTTCCCTCTCTGCCCCTACACCATCTCCCTCTTGTTCGCCTTCTCCCTCTTCTACTCATTCCATGCTGCCCTTCCAGCAGCACAGCGCGCAGCTAGCGCATACGTCGTGACGGCGCGTGCTTCAATTAACACTTTTTACAGCAAACAAGAGGAAGCAGCAGAATCTGACGTAGCGGCAACTGCAGCAGCAACTGCGCAGCTTGCAACGCTCAATCCACTTTCCAGTGATTCCAGCAGAAAACTGTCAACGTGAAAGCTTTCATGTCAAACAAGCAGCAACAAGAAATACGCACATACACATACACACACACATGACACATACAGGTGTATCTATGTATGCATGCATATGCGTGTAATACAGCAACAACTACGCTTAAAATACACAAGTGCACTCACTCAGCAACAACAACAAAAAAATACACACAGAAAAAAACAAAAGCAAAACATCAACAATAAAATAAGAAGACAAAATGAAAACACACAAAAACGCGAGCCGAGGCGAAATTTAATTAAATTTTTTCACTTGGAATTTTTGCGTGTTTCTTTTTTGGTGTTTTTTTGTTTTTTTTTTTTAACAAGCAGTCAAAACAGCTCTGGTTAATGTTATTGTTGTTAAGGTTGTTCTTGTTTCGTTTGACTGTCTTTATTTCGTTTGTTTGGTGTTGTTGTTTTAGTTACTGTTTCTGTTTGAATTGCTGCAGCTGCTGGAGTTGGACGCGACGCGTGCCAGACATTGGCATAAAAAACGCAAACGCAAATGCGCGACGGCGACGGCGACGGCGAGAAGAAAATACTTTGACAACGGCAAAGGTGAAGCAGAGCAGTAACTGTAACAGTAACAGTAGCAGCAACAGTAGCAGCAACAGTAGCAGCAACAGCAGGGTCAACGGCGGTAGCCTTTACAATGATAATAACAGTAGAGCTGTGTTGCTGTGGCAGCAGATGCAGAGACAGAGCCCAGCCGCACGCGATCGCTGCAAAAGCTCAACTGGTCGGGGGACACAGACAACCAGAGTCAGAGCCACACAGAGCCAGAAACAACGCTGTGCGGCGTCCGCGATGAGCAGCTGGCAGCGACGCTGGCGTCGTAGGAGTCCTCACTACAATGGACGCGCGCAACTGATAACAGTAAATAGAGAGCGCGCACTCAGCCCGAGAGAGACAGGCGGAGAGAGAGAGAGAGAGTGAGAGAGCATGAGAGAGCAGCAGTATGGGAGTGGGAGTGGTGGTGATTTTTGAGAGCATTAGGTGCCGTTGGGTGCTCGAAGGCCAAGCGCCAGCCAGACAAAAACAATGCAAATGCTAAGTGAAAATGGCAAATGTACGTAGCTTCCATTGGGCAACGCGCCGGGCAAAGCTCATTACAAGCTGTCTGTCCGTCTGCGCCAGTGACGTAGCCGTGTGTGAGAGTGCGCACAGAATATTATAAACAACTGAGTGTGTGTGTGTGTGTGTGTGTGTGTGTGTGGGAGTGATAGCGAGAGCGTGCGCGTCAGAATGAGCGCCGCCAAAAGGATCAGAGCAAAAGAGTGCGAAAATTAAAATGGCGTTTGTGCGTTGGAAATCTTTCCATTGCTTGTGGAATATTTCATGGAGATATTTCAATATCAAGGTTTTGTTTTTCCTTTATTTTTTCTTTCACTTCTCATCTCTTTAGTAGAGAAATTGTTATCTGATAACATCCACTTAAAGCTATAATAATAAAAAACCAGAAAAATCATTTCTCAATTTAAAGTAATAATATGTATATACATACATATGTATTATGTACAGATATTAGTTACATATGTAAATTAATTACCCGCTATCTCCATTCATTAAAACTTGTGCTTGGCCAGTCAGCATCCTCTTTTTCAATCACTTTTAACTTCTAACTCTGTTAAATTCTCTCCCTCTCTCTCTTTAACAGCTGTAAAGCATGTTCGTTCCTGCTACAGCTTTCCAGTTTTGAAATATTTTTCAATGAACTTTCGTCTGCTTGTCGCCGCGCACTCTTCGCCGGCTTTGATTGTTTCACGCCTGAGCTACTGCCGCACTCTCTCACACTGTCTCTCTCGCTCTACTTCTATATCTGTCTCTTTCAGTCGCAGGTAAAGCCAAGCACGTCAGCGTCAAGGCGTATGTCGCATCATAACGCCTGTGACGTCAATGGCAGCACCAACGGCAACGGCAGCAGCTTTCGGACCGGTCCAACAGTCAAATAATTCAATGCGACAACAGCGACCACGAGGCGACGTTTAAGCTGAGGCCGAAGCCGACTTGGCCAAAGCTGTGGCTGACTCGGCTGCTATTTCTACTGCGTCTACTACTGTTTAGCGAGCGACGTTGGTGTCCAAACTAAACTCGCAAAGCTTTCAATGCGATCGCATTAGCCGGGTTCCGAACCCAGCGCAAGCTTTTCGCGCTTCAGCTGAACTAATTAGCGCCTAACAACAAAAGCCACAGCCGGTAAGTGGGGAGAGAGAGAGAGAGACAGAGCAAGAGAATGTGCGTCCAAGTCGTAACAGCTTTTGGGCCACTCGCAGCACCTACCTTCTTTTTGGCCGCCTCGGCCGCGCTGATCACGTACAGATCGACAATGCCCAGCAGGCAGTCGTCGCAGCGGCAGACGTCCTCGCCGAACGCCAGAGAGCCCAGGCTGCTCGTTGAGTCCAGCGAATCGGTTCGTCGCAATCGGCTCACAATGCCAGCAGCGGTGGGTGCGCCGGCCAATGGCATGCCACTGGAACCGGCGCCGGCAACAGCGCCGACACCAGCACTAGTACCGGCAGCAGCACCAGCACTGGAACTGGCACCGGAACCGGAACCAGCGGCGGCCTCAATTTTGCGCGCCAACAGCTGCTCCATGAGCGTGCGCGGACGCGAGGAGGAGGGAAATAGGGCCATGCTTCCGGCCGAGCTGTCACCCCTAAAATATGGCCACACTGTACGGCCGGGCAAGTTCTTTGCTTAAGTCTTTTGTTTTGCTCACTGTGCTTAACACGTTAGCCCGAAATTCGCTCTAGCTACGAACAAAGTGCAACATACCTGCAATTAGAAGGGGGAGAGAGATAGAGAAAGAGAAAATGAGTAAAGAGTAAGAGACAATTTTTATTGATAATAATCATTTATTGATAATAAGCTTTATTCATATTCTGTTTATTTTGAAATTTATTTATACATATTATGTTTCGAGTAGAATTACTCAACCAACTATGATATACCCGGTACACATGTACATACACATATACATGCACGAACGCATATACATACACATACGTATTTATATTTGTATTACTATGTAAGTACCCTGAATAAAAAGCGGAATTTCGTGATGGAATGGTTTTTTGAGAATGTATGGGAGATCGCATAAGACATGGCTTATGTTTGTCCGACTTAGTATCTTTCCGTCCATATGAACGCAGAGCTGTCGTACACCACAAAAGAGAGAGAGAGAGAGAGAGAGAGAGAGACAGAGTGATAGAGAGAAAGCTAGTTTAAATCTTGCATACCCGAGTAATCGAGAAATACTATATTACTACAGGCATAAATCTGTAAAAACCTGGAATTTTAATAGATACATGATTTAGATATGCTTCTAAGAAATACGACAAATATTGAAAATCTATATTATCTGGGATTATAAATTTAGAAAGCTTAAATTTTGCCGCTAGTTTACGGTTGACCTCATCTACAAATCGCAAAATTATATAAGTATATGGGACCCTCAGGCGCCACAAATCGAGAGTTATTACATGGTGTTCATTATAAATCTTAAATTTAGAAATATTTATGTAGACAAGAGCCATAAACAAATGTGAAGATCAAATGAGTAAGACCCGGCTCAAAGGCTATAGGAAATAATAACATCTACTATATCCTAAAGTTCTCATGTTGGATCCCCAAATAAATTAGTTTTGATCCATTTTACAGATTGATTCAAAATATTTTTGTATACATTTCTTGGAGCTTTAATATATTAATATAATATTTTCGTAATACTTTAGATTTGCAGGTGGATTGTATCTTTAATATATCAATCATATGGTTTATCTATAATCGGCTTTTGTGTATATATTACTATTCTGTACTATGTACTTCACAGTTTGATATGCTCGATTTTCATTTGCTTCCTTTGATCTCAAGGTATTTAGTCGATCTATAGATCGCATTTTGCTATTTTATCGGCGTCTGTCTCTAAGTGAAGTGCCACAATTTGTTGTCTGTCGCAGCTTATCGCCAACTGCAGGCTGGAGTGGGAGGTGGGTGGGGTTGCGTCAGCTTATCTAGCTAAGGTGTGTGCCTCCCACCCTCTCTATCTCACTCTTTCTGTGGATTGTGTGGCATTCGAGTAATCGCAGCTGATAAAAAGTTTCTTGTTAATTAACATGAAAGTGCATAGCAAAGTCTGGAGCTCGCGCTCTGTGGCACGTATCCAGTTGCAGTTGCAGTTGCAATTGCAGTTGGCTGCGAAAACTCGTCCAGAGCCAAGTCGACGCGAAACTGGCTGCACTCCTGGCCAGACATTTGGCCAAGGCATCGATTGCAGTCGTCGTCGTCGTCGTCGTCGTCATATCGCCGCATTTATGCGCACATAAAAGTCAAATAATAGATCCAATAGATACTTTGCCACAGCGCAACTCGTTGCAACCAGCCAAACAGCCAGCCAGTTGTTGTTGTTGTTGTTGCTGCTGTTGTTGTTAGTCGAATGATTTATAAGCAGTTGTTGCTTCGATACCCTGACCAGAGTTTTAGATGATGTGGCCAAAGGCATAACACAATTGGCTTGCTCATATGATATATAGCCGCTGGTAGATCGCCTCAACTGTAGATCAGTTGCCATGGGAGAGACAGGACACATTCGTTGAACAGAGTCTCGTGCTCAAAATTACTATTAGATATTTATATAATAAATCAATTATTCAATCGATCGATCACTTTACTCATCAGCTATCACATAAAGCCAGGGTGAGGATCAGTTGATACAGGAGAATTTTATGTATATATAGAGTATAAGCTAATCCAATTCAATATTCTTACTACTGATCGTGGATCAGCAGCGATCCTCAGTCATTATGCTCTAAATAATGACGGATCTTACTTTAGATCGACTTGACAAACTCTTTTTTCCCATTCAACTTTAAGCCGGATCACTATGCACTCGTGATCAATTATCAGGAAGAATCAGCTAATCGAGTTAGCTTGGTCGATAACGCGCTGACTTCTTCAATTTGTTAATTTTGCATCTCTTTCCACTGTAGATCGAGATAACGCTCAGTAAATCAAAGCACGATCATTGTGAGTTTGTCTTTAACAGATTGCACCGCCTGCTTTCAATGGCCAAATAAATCGTTTTCAATCTAGTTAGCAGCTCAAATTATAAATCATTGATAAAGCGGTCCGATCGGTTGACTTTGCTAAAACTTGTTCGGGCTGTCAGGCTACCATGTGCTGCATCGTTTCCAAGTTTATAATTCCAGAAATTTGAGTTAGCTGCGATAATCTGAAGCAATCATTTTTCACATTTATCTGATGTCAGTTGCATATACATAGCATACATTGATCTTCAGCAGATCTAGCCAACAAATTATAATAATATTCAGTCATAAATCAGATTTGCTTATCAATAAATATTTCTTATAGCGAAATTGATTAAGGCCTGCCAGACTCTGGCTAAGTAATTAGTTTTCCAGGATAACTAATAGATCACTAAAATATCAGCCAAGGATCATGTAAAATAGATCATAGATCATAGATCAGTAAGAGAGTATATGGGAGTGATCATAAAGCTGATCGTCTAATTGTGCTTTCATTTTTTCTTTTTTGTCTATAATTAATAAAACAATATCTGTAGCAAAAAAGTATATTACATAAAGATTTATAATCAGATTTATAAAGATATTTAAAACAGTTGCAAGTGATCGAGATATATAAGCTATTGTGGTAAATAATCGTAGAAGAGATTATAAAGTTACACATATATGACAAGAGGCTATATAGTTCATAGATTATTCGTATTCTTATGATCACATTCATAACAAGTCTAATATATCTTTGAGTGGTGATCAATTGATCTATATAATGATAATTTTTGCTGTAGTGTCATGATCAGTTTATAAGAGCAGTCTTTAAGGTATGTTCACATAATGAAATCATATATAGCAAGATGGAATCATATTTCTGAACAATCTTATTTTTATTTATGATCACACTTTAAGATCATTCTGAAAAATTTAATAATACCATAACTAAATGAGTGAAATATTATGAAAATATTGTAATTGCGTTATATAGATCTGATCTTATTTTTGATCAGTTTCATGCTCAGCAGACTGACAGCTAGCTTTATATAGGAGCTTTTATACGTGGATGTGAGCTGAGCTTAGATCGCAAGTTTTATTTTGGGGCAAGCATCGATCACCTGTAAGGGTAACTAAGGGTCGGCTTTACTCTTACCATAAATCGTTGTATTTCTTATAGCTTTTCGTTCATAGCGTTGTTGCTTTGTATTGTCGTTGTTGTTGTTTCCGTTTGCTGTTTGTTGTTGGTTAAGCCAACTGTCTTGTACTTTTATGGTCGACTCGTCTTATCAATAATTTATGTCAGATTATACCGTTATGTCACAATAAATTAAAGTTGGCAACTTATTTTCCCGGCTGCTGCGATTTTTCGTTTTTCGTTTTCGTTTCTGTTTGGGATTTTTCTTATTTTTTATTTTTTTTTCATTTTTATTATGGCCAAATCTGTCAGTTTAGTGGCGCATTTGGAAAATGGGGAAAATTGAACGGGCCGCACGGGCTAGCCCCAGCTAGTGGCAAGTGGCCACGCCTCGCTGCCAGTTGCCAGTTGCCAACGAGGCAACGGCATCTGCCTGGCAGCTTGGCTACTTTGGCTGCTTGGCGTGCGGCGTGCGGCGGCAAATTTCACTGTCACGCCTCGTTTTCAATTAACTTGTTGGCGGCCGCTGGTCAAGCCGATAAATCAAATATGCCGCCAGTCGCTGCAACTGCTGCAAGCTGCATGCTGCATGCTGCAGGCGGCAGGCTGCAGGCTACACAGCAGCCTTTTTGATTTATGAAGATCGCTTCATTTGGCTGCTGTGGCTGCTGTTGCTGCTGTTGCTGTGGCTGCTGCACGCAGCCATGTCAAAGTTTATCTGCTGCTCTGCGATGATTAATGTGGCTGGCAACAATGTGGCAAGCAGCCATAAATGCGCAACTGCAACTTCGACTGCCCGGGCTGCTGTTTATGGTAGTTGCCTCGCTGGCTAGTTGGCCAGTTTTGCAAGGGTCAATCCGTTTGCGTGGCGCAGATACCCAAGTAGCTGCCAGCGACTGCAAACCTGTATCTATCACTTAGCAAAGTATCTGTTTCCTCTTCTTCTGCCTCTCTTACTGCGCAGCTACAGACAACGCACTCGCCCAAGCAGTCTAAGCCATCTCTCACCCTCTCTCTTTCTCTTTTTCTTTCTAGCTCCAAGCAAAGGCGACACACATGTCCTATCAAGGAATCTGCAGGTTTGTCAAAGCATCTTTAGAATCATTTCTGATCTTTGAGATAAAGTCGAGACTTTACAATGTGTGTCGTCGAGCTTGTCAAAGTACGATAAAGTGTTAATTTCTTTAAGTAAAATAAAGTACGAATTGCTTGAATTATGATACCTAATCATATCAAAGATACACTCAGATCTTGACTTAGCATCTTCAAGTTTTTCATTTGGATATTTGCTTAACTCTTGGATACTCACTGATTAAAGTTCAAGAATATGTTATTTATCTGATTATCATCACGATTCATCAAGTCCTGCGGAAGTATCTACAAATTGTTAAACGTGTCTGCAGAAAATATACTAAACTCTAAGATGCACGTAATTGTCGCTTGAGTATATACAAATTGTGCAAAGGATCAATTGAATATTTGCTTATCTCTTGGATATAGTCAGATCTTGCTCTTAAGCATCTACAAGGTGTTCGAAGTTCCTTGCTTAAGTATGTACAAGTTGACGAATTCTTTAGAATATTTCCTGATCTCTAAGTCACAAGCAAATC